CTCTGTTGATGCAACTCAATACAAGCAGCTCATTGGCAGTCTGTTGTATATCACAACCACAAGGCCTGATATAATGTATACAGTTTGCTTGCTAAGTAGATATATGCAAGCCCCAACAAGACAACACATGTTAGCAGCAAAGAGAGTTCTCAGGTATCTAAAGGGGACACTCACTTATGGTATATGGTACAAGAAAAATGCAGGGAATGAGTGTCTATTGGGTTACACAGACAGTAACTATGCAAGTGATGTGGATGATAGGAAAAGTACAAGTGGGTATGTGTTCTTTCTAGCAGGAGGAGCTATTTCATGGGCTTCTAAGAAACAGCCTGTCGTCACTCTTTCCACGACAAAGGCAGAGTTCGTTGCAACATCTCAATGTGCTACTCAATGTGTGTGGTTGAAGAGAATTCTGGAGGTGATGGGATGGACATCAAGTCTGAAAGAAGGTACAAAGATCTGGTGTGACAACAGTTCCACAATTAAGCTTTCTAAGAATCATGTTCTCCATGGAAGGAGTAAACATATTGATATAAGGTTTCACTTTCTAAGAGACTTAGTTAGAGACGACATAATAGAATTGGAGCACTGTGGAACACATGAACGAGTTGCTGATGTGATGACTAAGGCAGTCAAGTTGGATATTTTTCAAAGACTCAGAGGAAAGCTCGACATGCTTGACTTAACAGAGTTCAATCTAGAGGAAGTGAACTGAAGATCTTGGATGAAGAGGCTTAAGTTCAGGGGAGGATGTTAGAATAATTCCAGCTGCAAGTTATTATGCATTAGGTTATTAATTAATTAATAGAGTCTATTATTTCCCTTTAAATTAGAAGTAGTCAAAGTCTGTTACTTTGTGCTTGCAGCATGTTTAGGAGTGAACTAGTGGTCAGTTAGGATCAGCCTAAAATTGTGGAAAAGTTGTTTAGCCCGCGTGGCTATTTATTCTGTAATTAAAATTCAATAAAATTGTCAGTTTGCTTCAAGATATTACACATGATTTGTATTTTATTATTTAAAATTTATGTATGAAATTTTTTGAGATTGATATATTTTATTATTTGTAATGTAATTTGATGTTAAAAAAAATAAATATTTTTATTAAAAAAATTGTTTCCACTAAATAGGTAGGACAGCATATCCAATCCAATTGAGACGAATTTGATTTTTTTTTTTTGTTAAAGAGATTAGAATGGGTAACAAAAATTATTTACCAATGAAAATTTAAGGTTGGAGAAATAAAAATAATTTCACACTTACCCCATTGTCATGCTTACTTTTGCATGAGTATGTTCAAACATAAATAACTATATCTTTAACTCACTTTTATTATAATAGAAAAAACTAATTTTGTATAATCAATTTATTCACAATCAATTTTTATCATTGCAAAATCAAAAACACCAAAACTTTAAAATAATTAACCATTTTAAAATAGTATTTTATTTTCACAGACAAGATTCATAGGTATGATTAATTGAAGATAACAATTAATCACCTATCTCACCCTAGCAAATAATTAACAGGTTTTCGCTTCCTGTTCCGTAACCACCGCAAAAATTTAATTTTTTAAGTACGTATTTTTTTTATAGAAAAAAATCAATAAATAAATTAAATATTTAATCATTTTAATAGTAACTATAAGATTTTGTCATTTTTAAATAATTTATATTTTTTAAAAAATGAATAATCATTTTATTAAGTTTATTATTTTAAGATTAAGAAAAATAAATAGATAAGAAAATTATTAAAATAAACAGAAAAAAATAAGCAAGAACATGTGCAGGTACTAGCATTCTCATCTGCTTCAACTTCTGTAATTAAAAATTGAATTTTTCCAATACCCACCTAAGTTTCAATTAAATCAGTTTTTTCTTATTAAATTTAGAGTAGGGGCTGTGGGATCTAGAATTTGAATTTTGTTGCCACCACCATTATTAGTATCTTGATTATACATCAAATGACTCGTTGTGTAAGATATGGATAGTTAATTTGGTTTGGTTGAGAAGATGAATGGATAGTTAGGAGGTAGGAGGGTTTTTATTGAGAAAGAATGAGAATTTGATAGGAATAACAGTGGGAAACTTAATTTTTTATTTATTTAGATAAATAGATGAGATTATGTACAATAAAAAAGATTTTAAAATTTATTTGACCAGCCTATTCCATTAAGTCCTTAGTTTATGTACCACCAACTCTAACACTATGATTAAATAAGTCTATAATTTTAATATTTATTTTTATATTGAATTTTAATTTCTTCTCTCTGTCTCTATGTATGAGATTTTTCTTTCTTTTTTCACCATTGTTATTGATCATTATCCTCATAAGTCTTAATCGAATTAATTTTGATTAACAAGATTCAATATTTTATATTTATCACGTCTCTTATTTTTCACCCTTTAATCAGGTGAAACAACCAATCTTTAGATGTAAGATGATTCTGCATCACACAGAACATTCAAAGAAGAAAAACAAGACAATTGAAAGTAAGAGAAAAGAAAAATACGGGAGGAAGAAGAACATAATTGTATTGATGTGCAAACTGCACTAAAAGTGTTTGTTACAATGTATGATAATGACAACTGAGATTTTTGAAACTACACAATACTACTACAAAATTTGTGATTCTCTCTTGTTACAAATGAAATAGAACTCCTATCTATTTATATATGAGATTACTTGTACTCCAAGTAATCACAAAATAACTAACTCAACTAAAACTAAGTTAAGTTAGTCTATTTCGACTCTCTCGACTCCTTCGACAACAACATGTTTCGAATGCATGCTTCGACATGTTATATATATATATATATATATATATATATATATATATATATATATATATATATATATATATATATATATATATATATATATATATATATATATATATATATATATTTGACTTTATGTCAAATATAACAAATATTGACTATGTTCGACGCATGCTATTTCGTTACACACTAGAACACCTTTCAAGACCTGTCAAATATAAACACACTATTTAGAATTTGACATAAAAAAATTACATATTTAACACACCACCTAATTCATTATGTCTAAGCTATCTACTTTCATTATTATTCTTAATCTTTTGAACAATTCAACCTGCACAATCTTCGCTATTATATCTGCAATCTGATTTTTTGATCTACAATGCTCTAGGCTCAACTTTCCATTCGCTACCTGCTCTCTCAGGTAATGGAACCTCATTTTGATGTGCTTGCTTCATCTGTGTGCTATCGAATTCTTTGCAAGGTTGATAGTCGACATGTTGTCAATTTTCATGGTCATTGTTCCATGATTCTTCCATGTAACTTCTTCGACTAGATTCATCATCTGTGTTGCTTGGTGTGCACATAAGGAAGTTGTTATGTATTCAGCCTCACATGATGATAAAGCTACCACTGGTTCCTTTCTCGAACTCCATGCGACTGGTGCACCACCTAACATGAACACATATCCTGTTGTTGATTTTCTATCTTTAGCATCGCCAACAAACTATAGTCAGTGTAACCCACAAGTTTGCATTATTTTCCTTCATCGACCGAGGAAATCAAAATACCATAGTCGAGTGTTCCTTTGAGATACCTTATTATCCTATTGGTGGCTGCAAGATGAGATGCATTTGACTTCTGCATGAATCTGCTCACCATGCCTACATAATAGGCTAAATCTAACCTTGTGTGACAGAGGTATCTAAGTTATCCAATGAGTCTTCTGTAGTGCTTTGGGTCGACATCATCTTCAGTCGAATCATTTATCAGTTGCAATTTAGGCTCATCTGGAGTCGAAGTTGGGTTGCAATCTTGCATCTCAAATCTCTTGAGTATTTTTCCTACATATCTTCTTTGGTGCATCATTAAACCTATACTACTATTGTAAAATTCGATACCAAGGAAGTTTGAGAGATTTCTCAAATATGGCATTTCAAACTCCTTATTTAAGTCATGTTTGAAATCTTTGATCTTCTTCTTGCAATTACCTATTATCAAAAGGTCGGACACACATCATTCATTCCCAATGAAATATTACCTATTACAAGAGGGATATTAAATATGTTTGTTTCTGATGACAGCGATGTCCCATCCAATACTTTTGATTTCTCTTATCCATTGGCCGGGTTGGAGCATGTATGACAAACTTCATCTTGTAAAGAAGAAACAAGGACGGAGGGGGAGGGGGACTGTTTCGGGTTGTTCGCAAGCCCCAAGATGAAAGGTCAAATGATACGGCACAGTAAGTAAAATGTGCAATGTAGGTATACCCTTTCTTTCTTGAAAGCATACAATTCCCTATACTAGAGCTTTAATGATCGTCCAGATCGATCTTTTGGGTGACCGCGACCCATCTTTTACTCCACGTTTTCTTTTGCTAAGTGTTTTTCCTATTAAAGAGGAAAGACACACCATTTCCAAGTTATTTAAATTCATTATCATTTTCATTTCATGTTTCACTCTTTTACTTACTTGAGCGTTAAAATGTTAATCTTACGAGTCTCTTCCCTCTCGGCATGAGAAGTTCAAATCCACCGCAGTAAACTCTTCTTCTTTGTTTAATGATCATTTATGGTACCACCTTAGAACACTAACTATTACTCTTTATTAGGAGGAGTACTTTTGGTTTCAAAAATTTAGAGGGCGTTGGATTGCATATGAGATCGTAATGTTAAGTATTATCATTTCAAAACTATTGTTAGGAGATTAAAAAATAAAATGATCCCTCTTTGAAATGATGGGGGACAGTGGGTGAATGAACGAGAAAGACTTAGAAACATGGTAAGATTGTTTTACATTAATCTTTATAAGGAGCATATAAACCTATCTGTGATTCGAAAACTCAAAACACATTAGTTGTGTTCTCTACAAACTAATCAACAATCTTAATAAAATCCACTTCAAAATATTAAAATGCAAGATATTAAACCAATTGAGTTTAAATGATCAGCTAGTACAGTGTTGATGAATTTGATTGATACATAAAACAAACTTCATATTTTATTCGTCGCTGGCTTGTTTGTTTTTTCCATAATGCTGCATGGCAAATGCAAAGGCCAATATCAGTAACGGCAACAGAAATTGCAATGCCTTTACAACAAATCCCGATCCCGATGATTGATTGTTATCGTTGCGTGCTTGCGTAGGTGGAGGCGGGGGAGGATCGGACCTTTCTTCAGCTGGAATGTTCGACGTGTCGACCATTCCAATACAGTATTTTTGCATCATATCTATTGCAGAGTCACTGTGACCTACGTCTTCAAAATCAACAGTAGCATCCTTCCCTATAGAAATAGATACAAAATCTTAATGTTATGGACCAACCGGATTGCTATAGATTTGTAGCGACTAGAATCAATCATGAAGGAGAAATTAACTATTACCTGTTGATGAAATTAAAGATTCGTCACCACCTGGATGATCATCCAAAAATGAGGTCACATTATACACCTACAACACAGCATTGGAATGGCATAGATGAAAATCAACAAAACAATGACATATTGGTTGTTGTCCTAGTGAATGATTCATCTTCTTTGTTTGATTCGTTTGATCCATATAGCACTGACACTTTTTAAAAAAAGGTGCGTATGAGTCCAAGTCAGACATTTACACAGACACTTCTATTTATTTTTTCAAATTATTACTAATGTCTTTGTGTCGGTGTCAGTGTTATGTTCGGGGTGTATGTGTTTCGCAACGAATCATGCAATGCACGTAACAATATGGTTGTTAAATTTGAAATAATATTTGATGAAAAAATTCTGCATGCACATACATTTGAACAAAGATTCAGCAAAATGACATTAATCACAGAAAGTGAAACAGATCAAGAAATAATAAGAATAATAATTAAAGAGAGTGTTGAAAAGAGACCTTTCCATGGATCATAATCCAGCAATCTTGTTTGTTGTTGTGTTTGGAAACTTCCTCAAAAGTAAAAGTTTTGGTTGAGGCCATTGATTTTCTCTGTCGTACAATGTCAAGCACAGTTTAGTCACAGATCATTCATTCATGTAAGAAAGAAAAGAAATGTAGAGAGAATAGTTCCGTGTTGATTGGAACAAAAAGCGCACAAGTCGAAGAAACATTCTTACATAGTGAATTATTTATACACCAATGAAGAATAATTCTTACATGTAATAATAAGTATATTTTTAATATAAAATAGTTTTTGTGAATATTGTGGTCAATTTTTATTAATGTTTCTTCAAAATAACCATAAAACATCATTTATTTCTATAGTGTTCCATAAATTTATTTCTGATCAACTAGAGTAAATTAATATCAAAGAGTTGTTGCTTTAGCCCATATTTTAAATAAAAAATATGAGAAAAACATAGTGTCAATAACATGACATTTTATCCTACCACTAGTTTGACCTTACACCCCACATATTTTCATAATAATACCATTATTTACTTTCCAAAACTTTATATTGGATAAAAAAAATTTAACTTTGAAAAACTGATAAAAAAACTCGAATAGTTACACTGAAAAATTTGGTAAAAAAGTTCGAAAAAGGTGAAATTTATACATTTTTTCCGAATATTTTAAGAATCGGTATGATTTTTTATAGATTTTTAACAAAAATCTAGTATTTTGTTACATTTTTACCGCATATTTTTGAAACAACTGGTATTTATTTTAAATTATTTGCATTTTACCGCATTTTTAAAAAATCTGATATAGTTATACCTTAATTTTAAAAGAAATCGATATTTCTAGGAAACATGTCGTTTCTATTGAATATTTCAAAAAATTTGATATAGACCCCAAAATTCTAGATATTTCAAAAATTTCAATATACTTTGTCTATCGTAAAAAATTTGGTAGTTCAGAATACTTCATTTGTGTGGTTCAGATACTAATGGTTCTTCTGCAAATTTTACACAGATTTTCACCACTAACAATGTATGTTTTACTTGCATATTTTCTTTTCAATTTGTTTAAAACTTAATAGGCTTACGGTTTCTCTCACATTGAAAACTTATTTTGTATATGTTATAAATGACATATATTTTCCCCCCGAGCTGACGAGTTAGCAAGGGCAAAATCCATTGGTAAATATCATGGTATTATTGTTGTTCTTATTCGTCTGATACCGCAAATGAGATCATGGGGAGGAAAAATAAATGATTATAGGTTGTGAGAGAGAAGGAAACTACAAAAAAGAATACTTTTGATAGCAGTTATAGTATAAAAGTTAAATGTCCATTTATGTTGAGATTTATTCCAAGTGGTAGCAGTTGGAAGGTTATGGTTAGGCGTGGGTTTCACAATCATAAACTAGCTAAGGACTTAGATGGTCATCGCATATTAAGTCGTTTAAAAGATGATGAAAGATAATTTATGAATGACATGACAAAATATAATATGCATGACTCCTAAATACATAATTGTTGCTTTGAAAGATAGAGATCTAGAAAACCTCACGAGCGTTACCCAGTTGTACAAGGCAAGATATACATATAAGAAGAGTGAGAGAGGTTGGTTGGCTGTAACGCAACATCTTTTAAGTCTTATTAATGAAGAGAAATACATGTACTGGACCAGAAACATGGATTATTCAAATGTTGTTGTCGATATCTTTTGAACACATCTTGATTCAATGAAGTTGTTGAACATGTTTGAAGGGGCGAGAGCCTCCCCTAGAGCTAGTGATAACGCAAAAATGTATACTATAATTGCCACGTTTTTCATCTGTTAACTGTATGGTTTCACCTCGATTTCGGATTATTCCGCGTATTTGTTAAGTGTTTTTGCAGGTATACGACGCTCACACCCAAAACGAGCAAGACAGAGAAAACTCACAAGAAGAAGACATAAAATAGGAGAAAAAGCCAGAAAGTAGCAAAGAAGACAGATTTTGTGAGTGTGACGCTCGTCACAGCCCCATGACGCCCGTCACAGCCATCACGGTCGTCACACTACATTACGCTCGTCACGAGCAACACGTTCGTCACAGCTCCATTACGGTCGTCATGCATCCAATAACAGAATAACATGCAGATTTTGAACGTGCCCACGCAGGAGAGCAAATATAGGAACAACTACCTGAGTTCTCTCACCCTCAACTCCTTTTCCTCTGGCATTTTCTCATGAAGCCTCAGCTATAAAAGGAGGAAGGTTAGACCAAAGAAAGGGAGCTGCATTGAGGATAACGAAGTGCTGCCGAAATTGCCATTAAAGCCAAATTTAAGTTTTAGCATTATTTTTCTGTTCCTTTTCCTTTATTTCCATTTGTACCGCTTTATTCCCTTCCTGCACATTTGCCTCTCGCCAAGGTAGAATCCTGCCGACATTGTGGAGGACTACTCGAGGATCCGAGAGCAGTACTATTTACAGGTTTTTATTAATTGAATTGTTATTTTGTTTCCATCAAAAATGCATGTTTATTTATTTTGCTGCCATTATTTAATTATGAATGTTTTAAGTACCATGTCTAGCTAAACCACTTTAATCGGTATGTAATAAATTAGTAGGACAGGATTCGATAATACTCGGTGCCTTTCCTTTTTAGAAACACTTTTCTGGCCGTAGTTTTTAATCTAATTTTCTAAATAAACCTTCGTCACGAGAGTGAGAAATTATTTACAACGGTTTGTCCATGATAGTGGGAAGCTTATTATGGTACGAGCCGGCACGTGAAAGCGTGGGGTTCGAACCGGATAGTAAAAACTAGGCATTTATTTTAAACACAACGAAAGCGCTTTAAAAGAAATCAGAACTTATTTGTTTTCAAAAAGTGATTTTAACCCCGAATGGGACAGCGAAAGCATACATTCCGCCTTAGAATTATGACTAGAGTCAACAACCATTGTGAGACAAAAGTCTTTAAACGAATCTTTTCTCCTGAAAACCATTTGCAAAAACTATCAAAAGCATCGGTGACCTGTCGAATCCCCGAAGACTAAAGCATTACATACCTATGTCCCTTATTAGTAATTTTTTAAACCTTATAAATTTTCCTTACTAGCCTTTACTTATGCATTTAATACCCAAAAACCATCATCCCAACTTAGCTAAATATAGTAACACCCGATAACACTAGATTGATTACGAGTCTCTGTGAGATCGATATCTTTATTACTATGCGATAGACTATGCACTTGCAGTTAGTTCAGTTAGACTCAGAAAGTCGCGATCAAGTTTTTGGCGCCGTTGTCGAGGACCCGTTTAGTCAATAGTGTAGAACCTTTTTACGTAGTATAGACTAGGTTAAATATTTTATTTCCCTTTACTCGTTTGTCGATTGTATGCCAAGTACTCGTTCACAAAGGGACATCTTACAACCTCAAATCGCCGAACTAGAGCGCTTCTTACACCTAAGAAGGCGCATAATTGAATATCAACGAAGACATAACATTCTTGATCTTCTAGCCCATACTCTTGAATTTGTTAAAGAATCGAAAATGGCCGAAGGACCTGATAACAGACCTCTGAAGGACTACGCTACCCCATCTCAATTGGAGTCGCGCAATAATATTGCTGCCCCCGCTATCAATAGGAATGATTTCGAGTTAAAACCATCATTGTTGTCAGTCGTACAACAACATCAATTCTCGGGAAGTGCAACAGACGACCCGAATGAACACTTAATGAAGTTTGTGCAGCACGCCGACATAGTGAAGGCTAATGGTGTAACTCCAGACGCGATAAGATTACGCTTTTTTCCTTTCTCTCTTAGAGGTAAAGCTTGGGCTTTGTTGCAATCCTTGCCATCCAACTCTGTTACTACATGGGAACAGCTGAAGAACGTTTGCTTAGCGAGATACTTTCCGCCAAGAAAAACTGCTATGCTAAGAGCTCAAATCAACGGATTTCGATAGAAAGATTCTGAATCTCTCTACGAAACATGGGAAAGATTCAAAGATAAGATGAGGGCATGTCCACACCACGGTCTTGAAGACTGGGTGACCATTCATACCTTCTATAATGGGCTTCTGTATAATACCAGATTAACAATAGACACTGTCGCGGGCGGTGCACTTATGGATAAGCCATACGACGAAGCCTATCAACTAACCAAAAACATGTCTCAGAACCATTACCAATGGGGAGGTGAGAGAACTCTAGCAGAGAAATCTGCAGCAAAAGGTGGGATGTACGAGATCAGTAGTTTAGAAAAGGTCCATGCTAAGGTAGATGCGTTGACGCAAAAGATCGACAGTCTAACAATGACACCACTAGCTACCGTAGCTGCTGTAACTCCGAACTGTGAGTTATGTGGAATCACTGGTCACGCTGCACCCGAATGTCAGTTATTGACAAGAATCCCCCACAAACCAAGTGAATTATGCTCAAGGTAGTCCTTACGCAAGAACCTACAACCCAGGCTGGAAAAACCATCTGAACTTTACCTACAAAAGCGATAACATACTGTATGCACCTAACCAAGCACCTGTTGTACCGGCAAGATATCAGAAACCAGCCGTAGTTGCTCCCAATGCCTCTAGAAAATTAAATCTTGAATTGATGATGGAAAAATCCATAGCCACTTAAGTTCAGACGAACAAGGAGTTCCTGAATCAAACCATACACACTAGCGAGCAGATCAAGCAACTAACCAACAAAGTAGACGTTTTAGCTACCCATAACAAGATGCTTGAAACGCATATATCACAAGTAGCTCAACAACAAGCGCCTGCTTCCGCACCCGCTGGCACATTTCCTGGACAGCCAGAACCTAATCCGAAAGGTCATGCAAACGCTGTCATATTAAGAAACGGAAAAGAATTGGACGAACCAATCGATCCTATGAGCAACAACCCGGCCATGTACCAAAAACCTGTTAAACAGGCAGAAAAGGAGTCTGAAACCAAAGAGAAGGAAGATAACGAGAAGAAGGTCGTTGAAAAAGAAAGACCTTATGTGCCTCCACCACCTTATAAACCACCAATTCATTATCCTCAAAGGCTTATAAACTCCAAAACTACAGGGCAGTTTAAGAAATTTGT